ATCAAGCAGATGTTCACCTGCACATCTGCCAATGTGGTATACTGCATCCGCTGTACCCGTTGTGGCCTCCTCTACATCGGGGAAACCAAGCGGAGGCTCGGGGACCGCTTTGCAGAACACCTACGCTCGGTTCGCAATAAACAACTGCACTTCCCAATCGCGAACCATTTCAACTTCCCCTCCCATTCCTCAGGCGACATGTCCATCCTGGGCCTCCTACAGTGCCACAACGATGCCACCCGAAGGTTGCAGGAACAGCAACTCATATTCCGCTTGGGAACCCTGCAGCCCAATGGTATCAATGTGGATTTCACAAGCTTCAAAATCTCCCCTCCCCCTACCGCATCCCAAAACCAGTCCAGCTCGTTCCCGCCTCCCTAACCTGTTTTTCCTCCCACCTATCCCCTCCTCCCACCTCAAGCCGCACCCCCATCTCCTATCGACTAACCTCATCCTGCCCCCTTGACCTGTCCGTCCTCCCTGGACTGACCTATCCCCTCCCTAAGTCCCCACCTACACTCACCTTTACTGGCTCCATCCCCGCCTCTTCGACCTGTTTGTTTCCTCTCCACCTATCCTCTCCTCTATCCATCTTCTATCCGCCTCCCACTCTCTCCTTATTTATTTCAGAACCCCCTTCCCCTCCCCCTTTTCTGATGAAGGGTCTAGGCCCGAAACGTCAGCCTTTCTGCTCCTATGATGCTGCTTGGCCTGCTGTGTTCATCCAGCCCTGCACCTTGTTGTCCTGCATTTTACTTTTCTGAGTCCAAGTTGCGTTGAATGTGTGGAAGGTTTGTTGTCAAGACACCTAGCAAGTTCTCCTCCTCAGTAATTGCCTATCACGCCCTATGGTATCTCTTGTATCTAATTTCTGCCCTGTGTTACTGTGCACCGTTCCCAAAAAACACGCCACTCAGGTGTCTTGGAATTCACCAGCATCCCTTGCACCCATGCTAATTTAGTAGCCCATTGTGTACCCAGACAACCACTGTCAGTCTGGAGCGGCCCTATATAAGTTCCTAACATTTGCCCCTGACATGACAGACAGAGGGCATACTGGCACCCTGCTTAGCTTACAAAGTCCTGTAGAACTTGCTATATAGAGTGATGCCAATGCAGGACTTCCTCTTCCACCTAGGACCAGCAGTAGGCAATATAAGATCATGTCAGCCTGCTCTGAGGTTGCCAACCAGCTTAAAGCAATCTCAGCCAGAGGATTGCATAGTACTGTAATGTGGAGGTCAATAACCTTCTCCACTCCACTACCACACGTGTCACCTTCTTCTTTGTGATATCCCACACTCATTCTCTGCTACTGTACCCACCTTCCAACAAGGCTCAAGCTCCACCATTTTCACTACTGCCTGTAAGGTCTTTTCTCACTCACTGTCATGCACCCCAACTCCTGACACCAATAACAATACATGCCTTCTGTGCTGCCTACTCACTAGCTCCAGACATCTCCCCATATGCATTAACAGTAACAGCAGTGCCACCCACTTTCACTTTCCGTAATACCTGCCTGTGTCTCTTTCCATGAGGAAAACAGACCACGGTAGGGCAGAAAGAGTTAAGGCAAGTGGTGTACTGCCCATATTCAGCTCCTCAGCCCTTATGAAGAGAAGATCTTGACTCTGACCACTCCGAGCAGGGCTTGGTCTACCATCAGAGGTTGCCCTGACTTACTCTGCTTGGAACCTTAAGTAAAATCCTGCTGACAACTGTGACATGCTACATGGCTTCGTGTCTGCACTAAACAGCAGGGCAAGACAGCAGCAATATGGGTATGGTATGTCTTTCTGAGGGGGCAAAGTGCGAAAAGTCAAGTCAAGGCATGGAAGGTAGGGTTCTGTGAGCGTCCAGGTCGAGTCAAA